GGATACAACAGAGGCCCGTTTACTTTAATCATGGAATATTATGAACACAATCCTGGGGTGGACAGTCATCAATTGCTTTAAGCCTTAAGTGCTGTGTTCAGCAGAATAGAGGTACACAAGCCTGTAGGATCTCACACTACAAAAAGCCAGTACTCCAGGATTACCCCACATGCCAAAGCCATTTGTATGAAGAAAATACCACGCTTTTCAAATCCTGGAACTCTTTGTAGTTAACCATTGATTTTTAAAATTTTATCGTAAGAGTAAAAAAAAAATGGAGAAAGTTTTCATAAAATAGATAAATGCAATATTTAAATTTCCAAGATTTCCTAAAATTTGCTGTTTTTTAGTGGCGAGCGGTAATAACATTTTTATGCCTAAATGACTCAGTTTTCACCACCTCATTGCCTGGACTGACCCTAAAGAGCCCCAAAGAGCATCTGCTCACCTATGGCTCCTATGTAGCCAGCAAATCTGAGGAACTTGGAATGCTCTGCTTTCAATGAAGTCTGCAAGCTCAAATAAAGTCCAACAAGTCACGCTACAGCTAAGCTTGCTCCAGGCTTGGTGCTATTACTTTCCATTGGTCCCGAGATGGTTTAGTTGTTTCTTATAAGAGCCCAAGAAAGAAGGTGTGTGGGGTGCATGTGACAGGCACTCCTGCCTTCTCTCCATGGGCCAGCAGCGCTGCTGCTTTTCCACCAGCTGGTCCTGATTTGCATCCTCGAGAGATATGTAAATTCGGAATTGAGCACCGGGCCCACTCTAACCATAAAGGGACCACCCTACAGTATATTAAAAGGTTCACATCAATGTGTGCAATTTAAATGCACATGCATATAATTAACTAGACACATTACCAGTGTGAGCTGCTAATTTGGAATGAGACACAAAAGACTGGAATATGTGCAGAGGAAAAAAAAACTTTAAAATTAAAATGACTACATAATGAAAACTGCTTCATGCTGTGTCTACTATTTTCACGTAAACTTAATATAACTGTAAATATATTTTAATGAACAGTAGAAAGAGGCAATTACAAAGAGCAAAGGAGGGCACTGTAGCGGTGAAACATCATCAGAATGGCTCTTTGCCTCGATATTAAAAGTGCTGTTTGAAGACAAGGGATGAATTATAACTTCATAATTTCAGGGAAAATGTTTTGCTTTATTAGAGACACAGACCTATTTGCCAACCTGCTGGCAATGAAAATAGAGCAGCCAAGTGAAAACAGGGAAACCTTATCTAACCAACAGTGAAGAGAAGAAATCCTAGCTTGATGTTTTGGTGTTAAAATATCCCAACATTAGCTTTTTCTTCTTTCACTAGAGCATCCTTATTTTTCCATAAAGATTTCTCTAGAGTGTGAATAGGTTTTTGATATTCTGAAGCATCAAAAACCATTATAGTTATACTGACCAAAAAATATAGGTGAAATTTGGAAATCTTCTAAGTACTGTCTGTATCTTAGAGCAACCGAAAATTAGATTTGCATCTGTAAAATGAGTGCGATAAATTCCACAACTTAGATATTTTAGATAAATAATGCAGGGCTTCAGACAGTGATAGATTTTGGTGCTGGTGTTATAATTCATGTGGGACAGATAAGAGGCTAAGCAGCTGGAAAACATCCGCTGTCTGTTCCAGGGCTGAGCCTGTGTGGCGTTGGGGGTCAGGAACCGAGGATATACTTGTGAAGCAATTGAAAAGTTCATCCCATAAAATATCCCGAGAGCTCTAATTCTTTAAAGACCAATGAATTTTGCTAATATTAGGGGGGATAAAAAAGTCTATCCCACCTTTCAATGGAGAGTATGGCTGGGTTGCGGAAGTCAGTCGCCAGAAACAGTTTTACTTAATGCATATCTCCCAGTTTTCATATTGAACAGACAATGTATATATCCTACTTTTAAATGTCAGATGAACACTTTGGGCTAGGTTAAAAGGAGATGAATAACAGCATCGATTACTGTCCTTGTTTTATGGTTGGTTACAAAGTCAATTATAACAAGCCTATTGATTAAGTGGAAATATGGGCTGCCAGACAGATTTTTAAAATCTATTTAAAATGCTATGGGTATAATGTCATTAAGAATTCTAATTACTTAATGACGCAACCCAATAGCAAAAGGCAGTAGGCTGCCTGCTTGAGGTGATTCAACCACTGCACACATCTCCAGCTCCCAACAATGATGCCTTTCAATCTGACTCAGCATTTGCATACTGCTGGGGTCCAACCCCAGCAGGTCCAGGGGTCCCCAAAGGTGTGGACGGAGTCGGCGAAGAAGGAATGACATGGAGGCAGCATTGCCAGGATCTCTAGCCACAATCTCCAGCCAAGTTCTGTGTCCATGTTCTCTTGCTAGGTTCTCCAGCCAGGTTCTGTAGCCATATTCTCTTGCTACGTTCTCCAGCCAGGTTCGGTTTAGGTTCTCCAGCCAGGTTCGGTCGCCAGGTTCTGTAGCCGGGTTCTTCAGCCAGGTTCTGTCTAGGTTCTCCAACCAAGTTCCGTAGCCAGGTTCTGTCCAGGATCTTTTGCCATGTTCTCTCCAGCGAAGTTCTTCTGTCTCTAGGTTCTGTGTAGGTTCTGTCTTCTAAGTTCTGTGTTTTTTCTGCTGGGGAAGGGGTTAAGAGGTTTTATTCCCTCCCTAACTTCAGGGGAAAATCCCTACCTGGGGAAACAACCTTTCTCGGAGAGGTGACCTTGGTTAAAACACAGCGCCAAGAAGGTGAGCAAACATATTAAGAACAGTATGCCATATACGCCAGGTCCCTTGAAACAGCAAGGATGGACCGGCTCCCGGCAGCATACAACTTACATGCATAGAACTATGGAATTTGTAGATAAATGGTCTAGTGAGAGTATCTTGATAAAATGAAAAACCAGGGCCAACCCACATAGGACAGGTACCATGCCCAGGGAATCCAGCCAGTGAGTTCATTACTCTTTCTTTCTACTATGCTGCCTTGCCAGTAACAATTTTAGCAAAATAGTATGTGTGTAGCATTTACATTACTCAAAATTACTGTTTTCACTTTCATTCACAATTTGCTTTGAGTTCTCTTTCCTCAACTTAGAAGTCCTTTGGATGTACTTATTATCAAAATAGTATATTAAAGAATATGAATAAATACTTTAAAATAGCCAAAATAATGTGTTTGCTCTAATATTCCCTTAACATGAGAACACTGAGCTAGCCTTGTTCATTTTATATATTTCTCCTTAATAATCAGAACCATAACAACATGTGACGTTTTACTTTTTCACTCATTCTCTTCAATCAGGGTGAAGCTAAAGCAGATTTTTCAAGTCCACATTCCTTCTAGCTATTTTTAGTCATTTGAATCCAAAGGTAAATTTTGCTAATTTCAGAAAATTTTTTTTTATAAAACATAAAAACCAAAGGATGTAATTTGTTAAATCAGATTCAGAAATGCTGTCAGAGAATAATCTTTTTTTAAAAAATATATTTTATTGATTTTTCACAGAGAGGAAGGGAGAGAGACAGAGAGTTAGAAACATCGATGAGAGAGAAACATTGATCAGCTGCCTCCTGCACACCTCCCACTGAGGATGTGCCCGCAACCCAGGTACATGCCCCTGACCGGAATCGAACCTGGGACCTTTCAGTCCGCAGGCTGATGCTCTATCCACCGAGCCAAACCGGTTTTGGCCAGAGAATAATCTTTTAATTCCAAAATCTTATTTACAAAAATCTACTGGAGAGCAAAACTGGAATGTTGATATCAAAGGGTATTAACTGTAATTTGCTGACTCCATTTTTGCATAAACTCAGTCATGTGAGAGAGGTTCCTATGTGATATGCCCCTTTCATTGAATACTCAAGCCTATTAACAAATGTTTTCATGTTACTTGGTCCATGGAGATTTCTACTAATTGCCCTGTGCTTTTAACAGTTCCAAATACATATAACAATTGTTTATTATAAAAATGACTAGAAAGCAGTTGCTGCATGCCTTGAATCAGCCTAATGCATACTAGGATGTGCAGAGAAAGGTCTATCAACCTACGTGATCATGCAGAAACAGGACCACAAAACAGACCCCTTCCCAATGCGAAGGAAGACATACTACTCATTCTGCACTGTTAAATATGCAACCGGATTCTGACAATTGGTGCAAAATGTGAGGCTTAAAATGCACAGCTATTTTCAAAGTTCACTGATCTTCTTACCACCAAAGAACAAAATGAAAGGGAAGCTCTCAAGCCATAATTATGCTGTAAGCTTCTGGGGGTAGAAAACATATCTATTTATCTTAGAACCTACCACAGCATCTGCTGCAGTTCTGACATATAACAAGCATCTAATAGATGTTTATTGATTGTTCATGACTTGGTATTAAGGCTCACCACAGTGATTAAAATGAATTCTAAAACTGCAACAGTTACTTGAATAAATAAGACATTGTGTGGTAAAATAGAAGTAACTGGATTTGGAACCAGACAACCTAGGGTTCAATCCTGGTCTGACACTAACTGGCTGTGTTACCTGAGCTTCCAGCTCCTTGTCTGTAAAGGGAGGGTAATAATATCTGCTTTGCAGAGATGTTAGGGTAAAATGAAATGGTGTACACAGATTACCTAGCCTGGTATCTGGGATCAAAAAGTGCCAATGAATATAGCCAGGGTGATGTATTCACTAACTTAAAAAAAATAAACACCAGAGTATCCATTATTATAATTTTTAGTCTTTCTTTTCAAGCTGCATGCATCTTGACACACACTCTCTGTGACAACAGACATATCTTTATCAAGTCAATGTCAAAGACCAACAGATGTGCTCCAGAGCAGAGGAAATAACTGTGGTAAGCAAAACATGAGAATGACTTGATGCAAAAAAAACAAAGGTCTTTTAAAAAAAGAAAATATTCTGCCTACTTATTAATCAATTGTAGAATACTTGCACAGATGCACTCTGTAGTGATTAAACACACACATTTTCTACACCCCTTTCTACTATAAGTCCATTATTCCTTACCAGTAACTTCCAGTGGACGAAGGCATGTTGCATCCAAAAAGTAACATATGATGGACAGTATCCATGCTGGCACGAGGTTTGAAGTCAACTGTTAAGAGAAAATAATACATGAATATGAATACAAGTTACACTTCCTTGTACAAATGTCACAAGAGACTATTCAACAGTTCAAACAGCTGTATAACAAAGATGTTTTGATGCTCTTAGGATAGAATGCCCTGACTGTATTAATTGTCTTATTCCTTAGGATGAGCACGATTTGATCATTTAATTTAGTACGATAGTAAACTATTACCTAACAAGAAGAAAATAATGAGTTAGTAGGTTGAAACTACACATACACCCACGTACACTTTTAAATTGGAAGGCCCCTTTTAAAGTGATGAGAGCATTATGTGGGTATAAATGAAAGCTCCAGGCTATGGATTTACAATATATTTTGTCCAGATATCAGAATACTGGATGCCATAAAACACACAGCACCACACACATGAAACAGAAACCACATTGAGGGGTCAAACCTGAGCAAAAGGAGTCATAATGAAGTACAAGCTTATTATCATCTTAAAATTACAGAAGTCACTAGGATATGATCTGGAGAAACAATTTACTAGAGAAGTGCTAGTAAATCTTTTATATCTTTATAAAAATACACAAATGACTGTCCAGGATGAGCGCTGTGCACTTGTTAAAGGGATACTGAAACTTACTCAATGTCCTTTCTCTTTTTCTCCTAATAATAGTGGTTGAAAGACATTAAAATAAACGAAATCAGTTCAGAGGAAAAGCAAAGAAAGAAATCAAAGATGGGTATACTATTATGGATGGTCAATATTGAGCACAAGCTCTCTTTCCTGATTTCAGTTTGGCTCATCTCCTTTAGTCTGCATTCAAACTGCTGTCTTATGGGGCAGTTTACAAGTTACCTTTACACAGAAAAATGCTAAATAGCCTCAAATGATCTTAATTCTAAGGTATGTGTAAAACTATATCTTTTAGCTCTTTTTGTCTGGTTGATAAAATTAATAAAAGCATCCTTTGCTGCTAAAATATGTATCTGAGACATGCATATTTATAAAATGAAAAATGTTCTACTATAGCACCATGACTTGCAAAATGTGGTTGATCAGAAAACATAGGCTACCTACTAGGAGAATACTTGATTTACAACTTTCAGGGAAAATAAAAAGCCTTTCATTTATTGTACTGGAATGAAGAATTTAAAGTCTAAAAAAACACACCACACATCGTGAGATTTTTATACCACCATTTAAAAAACTAACAGAGGAAGGCTGGAATATGGACTTCATATAACCTGAGGCTTTGTTTTCTATTACAAAAGAACACAGTAAGCCTAGGAGATTAAAGAAGATATTTGGAAGGAAAGAATCAATTGGCAGTTACAACGGTTCACAAACCATAGAAAATCATATTGTTACCAAGCCTTAGTTTGTTAGCAAGAGAAATAGAAAGAAGAAGAGGGATTCTACCTCCACAAATTCTCAAGCTGAGGGCAGGCTCTGCTTCCTCTCTCCCATAATCCTCTCGGGATCATCCCTGGCAGAAGGAAAACTGAAGAAGTCCTGAGGTAGGCTTTTTGTCTCTGTCTTTTTATTTTGGTACTAGAGGCCTGGCACACAAAACTTGTGCACAGGGACGGTCCCTAGGCCTGGCCTGTGATCAGGGCCATCTTCCCTGGCTGCTGGCAGCTGGTCCTACTCCCCACTGCCACCCACCCCCAGTTCCCTGTTCGCCAGTGGGCAATTGGAGCCTGTGGGCTGGGGGCAGCTCCTGTATTGAGCGTCTGCCCCCTGGTGGTCAGTGTGCATCATAGCGACCAGTCATCCCACTGTTCGGTTGATTTGCATATTACCCTTTTATTATATAGGAAGGATGTGCCTCAGTGGTATGGGGATTACTTTGAGCTAAAGGCAACTGAGTTCCTGCATGCTCAAAGAAATTTCTGCCCCCCTCCCTTAACTGTCTAGATCAATTTAAATTAGGCCCATGAAGAGAGTCATTATCATAAATGACTTTCTACCTTTGTATATGGCAGGGCAAACTAACAACTGCTGAGCATGTGGTCTCCCTGCAATTACCTTCTGAAGCCTGAAGCCGCATTACTTCATCCATAGCTCAGACGTCTTATATACCCATATTTCCTTTCTGTCTATGAACCTATATAGGGTCTCTGACTCTACATATGTAATTAAATATGGTCATTTTCTCTTGTTGATCTGTCTCATGTCTATTTAATTATTAGATCACTGAAAGTAGAGGACAGTTCTTCCTCCCCCATGGAAGCAGATCAATATCTTTAAGTGGTAATAAAAGAAAATTCCCAGGGTTCCCTTTCATAAACACTCTCACTGACTCATACATCCTTTCAAAATCTCAAGATCTAATTTAAATGCTAAGTAAATTATTAGTACAGAGTGAAAACAGGCACCCAACCAACGTTTTCATATCCTAACGGAAGAGTATATTGACATATTTGCATTGTTACAGCTCAAAATTCAATTTATTGCAATTGAAAAATACCTCCAGCAAAAAGAATGTCATATCAAAATGTAAATCTAAAAACAACAGTCGATACATAAAATAAAGCAGGACTGGGACAATTTCATCGCAGGGGTCAACTGGGAAAAGGCTGGCTGACAGGTTCATTTCCTTGGTTTCTCCATTTCCATGTACTATGTCTGGCTGAGCAAATCCAGACCCCGCCCTTCGTCAACAACAGTGAGGACCACTGAGGAGGCTGGAGCTTTCAACACTACACAAGACAGAATATGGAAAGATACTTTAAAAGCACACCTTAAAAGAAATCCCCTCTTCTTTCTTTTTCTCCCATCATACACCAAAGAAGTAAAGGATCCAGGGGGAAGAGCACTAGAGGCTAATAATGAAAACAACTGCACTTAAGTGTGTGATTCTGACAGGCAGAATAAACAAAGGCAGCCTAGGGATGGTGACAAACAGGCATTAACACAGCCTGGTGAGCATGCAAGGGGATGCTATATCAGATGAGATTAAATGTGCCACCGACTCTTCTAACTCAATAATAGGATGACAGTTGTTTAAGAGGAAATGGTACTTCAATCTCAGTGGCTGTTCACAGTTCAGATTGCCTGAGGCAGAAGATCAGGGAAAATTTTATAGGCAAATAAGTGTGACTAAGTCCTGGGACCGAAATTCTCCGGAAGGACTAAAACTCCAGAAATAGTGACTCATGCATATTAATTAAAGGAAATATGATGACACACCATGCACAGGTTGAAAGATTTCTCAAAGGATAATGCCATCTGAAATGAAAGACTTGAGAGTGTGTGTGTGGGCGACATATTGAGCAAAGAGATAACTGGGTCTATTTTCTGTAGTTCTAAGCAAAATTTGTTGTGACTGTATGAGGTTGTTGGGGATTTATGGCCTCTTTTAGCTAACATCAGACTACCATCAGGGCCATAAAATACACTAAGAATGTGAACTAAGACAGAATTTCATTTAACTCTTGGCTTTCTAGTTTTCCTTTCCAAGAAGATATCCGGATCTGCATGTCAACATTTGACATATCTTCCAGACCCAGGACGTGGAAAGACTTTGGAGAACACATATAGCCAAGTGGAGGAATGAGCGATTAAGGAAATATCCATGTACATATAACCAATACTAAATTACCGCCAATAATGTGGAACACCCTCTTTAGCTAACGATACGCAGTAGGGGAATACCATAGGCCAGTGGTTCTCAACCTTCCTAACGCCGCGACCCTTTCATACAGTTCCTCATGTTGTGGTGACCCCCAACCATAAAATTATTTTTGTTGCTGCTTCATAACTGTAATTTTGCTACTGTTATGAATCATAATGTAAATATCTGATATGCAGGATGTATTTTCATTGTTACAAATTGAACATAATTAAAGCATAGTGATTAATCAAAAACAATATGTAATTATATATGTGTTTTCCGATGGTCTTAGGGGACCCCTGTGAAAGGGTCGTTTGACCCCCAAAGGGGTCACGACCCACAGGTTGAGAACTGCTGCTGTAGGCTTTGATAATTAACCTATGGAATAAAAAGGAACTGGTTTGCAGATGCAAGTTTGGATCTCCAGAACTTAGGCATTCTAGAATTACTGTGTGATTTAGCATTAGAGATAATTGTTGTTAACTCTATTTCTTTTTTCCTCCAAGTGGGGAACATATTATACGCAATAAAAAGTTTATTTTGCATACTGTGGATATTTTTCCATGTTTCGAAACAATTTCCATCAATAGTACTTTTCCCTTGGTTTTGTGCATCAATAGTATCTTGTTCAAAATACAGGTGCCCAGCGTCAATGCAAGGTCAGCCCTGCCCCTTCCTTCATCAATATTTCATTCAAGTCTCCCGAGGTCATTACAGGCAACTGTACCTTTGAAAAGTTTCACAGTTGAATAACAGGGGATTCTGACTACAATCACCATTTTTAGTGCCTGAATATATTGCATAGTGTGAGCATGCTAAGAATTCAGTTCATTCATCTTAGTTAACTTGGACTGCCTTATTCTTTAAGTGCATAGGACAAATAGTAAAAACAAGGTTTCTTTCAAAATAAATATATAAAAAACGTTTCTGAAGGTAAAAGTTAGTTGATCCTTTAGAATTGTTTCAATATTGAGAGAATAGAGAGGTGTAAGGTTTAAGAAACAATAATGTGAAGAAATTGTCATAATGAAAAAAATTGCAGGCAGGCCTCCAAATTTTAGTATCACTCACATAAAAATGTCTTTATTTCCAAAAAAAAAATAAAGATTATACTTCAAAAACCATTCTTAGGAACTGAAGATAATGCTCTAAATTGTAACTTAAGTGTAGGATATGATCAGCCTTAATGTGCGTCGTCTTGCAATTGAGCCAAAAGGTTCAGAAAAATGTAAAGCTCACAGCAATACTGCCCATTGGGCAGCATGTTAAAACCCCCGGCAATGGCAGATTATATTATCTTCTACCAGCTCCCCGTGTGCCCATAAAGCAATTCTACACAAGCAGAAAGACCTTTTACTTGAACATTTTAATCAGAAAATTTAATAGAGAAATTGTCATTAA